CTGGTTGCAAATGATTAAGAGCATTGTCATAATATAACTGGCCCAGTTGCCAGTCTGTGATGGGTTTGACTTGACTGAGTCAAAGTCGCTCGATTTGTTTTCCTAAAATTAGATGCAGTGAGTGAAAGAGAGAAAGTGGTGTGTGCAGCGAATTCGGAGTTGGAGGGGGTGTATCTGAAAGGGGTGTGTGCACTACACTGGACGCGGGGCAAGGATGTGTGATTGCTATTTTTTGCCTCTCGCTTGTCGGGCCATCAGCCCCTGGGTTGATCAGGGTTACAAGTCCTCTGGATAAGAAGGCAATTGCCGTTTGGGATTCAGTGGCTTTTCGATGTTCTTCACAGGAGCGCCATCCGCGCAGGTTTTCTCTGGCGTTGATTGTTGGAGGTTTTGCTCAGGAGCGCCTCTGCCACAGTGACTCTATCCATATCCACTTCTGTGGAAACCTCGTTCGTTGACCCGTAAGGTTTTTGCCGCCATCTTTGCGAGTGTCGTACTTTTCAACTTTCGGTGATTTCGACTTTCGTGGCAGTTGCGATGCGCCCTGGCGTAGACGGTCGGGCTTATTATGTCTCGTATATTCTCAGAAGAGAGAGCTGGTGTAGTGGGAGGGTATTGATGATATTGTAGAGCGAATTGGTCGTGGTGAATTGGTCGTGGCAGCTGTACTGTGACTGGTAGAGTGACACAGAGTTGCGATGATCGGAGGATCGCGTGCTGGAGCTGTCATGCTGTTCGCATCTGTGATGTGACTGATGTCTGAGAAGGGCATTGTAGACTTGCGGGTTGGAGGCAGAGCCTGCCTACCGGTCGTGATCTTGGGTGCCGACTCTGCCGAGCCAGTTTCAACTGTGTGGATCGCTCAGCGTCCTGGACAGAGGGGGAGGCTATGAGAAGCATGGGGTGCACCAGGAGGGGAGAGGAGGAGTGGGGGAGGAAGGCGGGTGGATGACTTGAGGAGCATGGTCGGCAAGCAAGTGTGGCATGTTGTGCTACGAAGCATTTGTTCATTCAGTGGACAGGCTATGAGAAGCATCGGGTGGACCAGGAGGGGAGGAGAGGAGTGGGGGAGGAAGGGGGTGGATGACTTGAGTAGCATGGCCGGCAAGCAAGTATGGCACATTGTGCTATGAAGAGTTTGTTCATTCAGTCGGCAGTTCGATCCTGTAGGAGGTCTGTCTGCCAGAGGAAAAAGAAGAACGAGGTGATGGCTTGAGGAGCATGATCGGCAATCGAAGTATGGCGAATCGTGTTGCGAAGCATCCGTTCATTCGG